CCACCTTACATAACGACAATATAATCTACCAGGACAGTTTTGAAAGGTCCACCATCTCACCGGCCATCGAAGCATCTTCCAGCAGAAGTCAAATACACGAAAGTCTGATCACGTTGCTTAGGAGGGAAGGATTGTTTGCCATGGCGAAATATTTAAGGCAATCGGGCTTGGACAACGTGCTGAACGAAACTGGTGAGCCAATGATTATAATCCTTTTTCTCTTTCCCTAACAAAATTCAGATAAAGTTGAATTTCATCAACGAAATTGGCGAATGAGGAACAAGATTGCAGTGAGATTGCAATAGAAAACCTACGGTGATTTTTTTTATAAATAACAACGAAGATTTACAATCTGTACAAATGTTTTTTTCTCTCCATCCCGGCGTCCAATTTAGTCATGCAATATTCATTAGAAAAATATTCTCACGGATTACTCTCTTGAACGTTTCGACACCGGTGCCTCATCGCAAGAACAATAATGGCCGTTTTCTCGTTGTACGAACCTTTAATAAATTACAAAAGTCGGCTTAATTGCATCTTACGGCGTTACGTTAATTGACCTATATATATATATATATATATATATAAACTCATCGATTCGATCGAACGTTCGCAACGTTCTTTCTTCTATTTATATAATTTATAAATTCTGTCACCGTATTTGTTGTCTTGCTGGGTCCAATAACGAGTAATTAAAGTCTATCGAAGGTTCCATTTTTTCATTTTACGACACTCGAGTGAATTGCATTTTGTTAAACTGGCACAAGGCTGAATTTTCAACACAATCACTGTTCACTGAGATCCGAATACTTTAGTTGATAAAACGTGGCGCAACAGAAGATCAGATGAAACGTGATAAATAAATTATAGATTATAAAAAATATATTAATAAATTAAATTAAGAGTAAAATAAAAATAAATTAAATACAGGTACTTTTACAAGAGGTGTTTCCAATGTGCAAAATTTTCCAACTCCCTTAAAATGAGAAGAAGCTAAAAATACAGTCCCCTGTTGCAGTAATTGCAAAAAGTAATTGAGCTACGTAATTACGAATTGAACAATTTACGACGGTTGATTGACAATCACCATTCTAATTACAAAAGCCCGCGTTCTCATTCTGTTAACGGTGAAAACGTTGAATTACACGGATGCATTGCGCAAGGCTAATAATCTAGAGACTCGGGGCGATGTCCAGTCGCTTCTGAGGCAATTAAAAATGATTGTGAAAATAGGCGGCGGAGGAGATCGTGCAACGATCAGATCTAATTATCGACGCATTAGCCAAACGGGAAAAACACCGTGTACTTCCGTCGATTAAATATCAAAGAAGCGTAACGATGTCGCTCCGCGTCAAACGAGAGACAACCGGATGATAATTATCCTCGTGGTTGAGAAAGATTCGTTTGTCTCTATCGTGACACCTTTCAAACCGAAGAAATCCAGAACAAACGCACCCCCCCCCCAAAATGTATGCGAAAATGGACCAAGTCATACAGTCATCGCGTCTAGACGATAGAGACGAATATTTGAGATAGATCTAAAAAGAATAACAAGTCATTATATTTATTTAGGAGTTGAAGTCGATATAGTATAGGGAATTAACTGCCTTGTAATATTCTACAGGTCCGTACACGATATTTGTCCCGACAGACAAGGCTTTCAGAACGTTGTTGGTACAACTTGGTGGTCCAGAGAAGGCAGAACAGAAATTCCGAGATAATCCACGACTTCTTAGCGGGGTATATTGCACTCACTGATTCATAGCTGCGATGATATTGATTCCTCGAGATTCTTGAATTAAGATATAATTGTAAAAGACACTGATCAGTAAGACTATCAGTCAGCTTAAATGACTAGTACTCTGCTCTCTATTTTCACAGTAATTAAACAAACTATATTGACCATGTGTATAATTTATATGATTAATTTTTAGCTTTTGCTGCACCATGTGATACCAGGAGCCTTCAGAATCGACTCGCTGCAAGATGAAATGACTGGCGTTAGCTTAGCTGGAACGCAGTTAAGAGTGAACGAATACGCAATGCACGACCACGAATGGAACGATATCAAGGTATTAACTACTGATATAGTGAGCCTTGTTGCACAAAGAATTCGCAATTTCGAGTCACGTTATCATTAACAGTTTCACTGACCTTCCAACGAAGGAAGGTGAACGATCTATTTCCATCGATCCTCATCTTTGGATCAACGAGTTATAATCAACATTGCATATTCATTACTTTTCTCGATCGATCGTTGATCTAGTTTGTCGGCCTTCTAGAAAACGTTAGAAGCATTCCATTCACTCGTTAATAATGCATAACATTGCACGTAAAGATAGAATTTGTTACGTTAAATATAATTAACAAAGACTGAAATAAATAATTTTTTTTTTTTTTTTTTTACCGCACAAACGTTAACAACTCTGTCTTTTTTTTTTTCGTTTTCTTTCGTTCCTTTTTACAAGCAGGTGACAACGATAAATGGTGCAAAAGTGGCGTCGACTAAACGAGACATCGAGATACCACAAGGCATCGCTCATGCCATTGACAGGGTGATGTTTCCTCTTCCGGTTGGCGATTTGGTGCAAACATTGCAAGCTGACCGCGAAAGACGATTCACTACTTTCCTAAAGATGCTTTATAGTTCAGGTCTTCAAGATACTTTAGCAGGTAAGACAGAGCAAATAAATTTATGAAAACCATGGGGTGAAAAATGAAGTTAAATCGTGTTAAATTATCATTATACTTATATGAATTTCTTATTTCCATCTCTCATGTATGTGCTGCATTAAACTCTCCGTGATAAAGAGGAACTGATGAGAAATTGATGACGATTCAAATAACCGGTACACATTCGATAACTTTGTATCGTCTAATATCTTTCCTAAAATCGTAGTTTCTAATGTTTCACTTGTAGTACTTTTTTTTATCCGCTAATGAGTCTTTTCCATCGTTAAGGAGCTAACGAGCTGGCAATACTGAATATATTAATGTGATATATAACAACAGTTAACAGTTATTTAACGAGACGTAAGATTTTCGAAGATTTTCATTTAAAAGCACGAAAATATAACAATTCGTCAAATGTCATCGTAATACAGTAATTGTGTAATTTAATTTCCTATTTAAAATATCGTTTTAAGATATTCCAAAGTAAAATTCAAAGGAACTGAGTTGTACTTGAAATGTTCATTATTAGCGTGAAATGCAAAATGACTTTAATTGCTAAATTATGGAAACTATTTTACGGAAATTTTTCTGACACTTTGCTAAGTCAGACTTAACAAAAGCTATTATATAGTCATTTGTGGTAAAACGCGAGTGAAAATTAAAGTTATTAATTGTCGCTAACACGGAAATAATCTTTGCAGGGCCCAAGACTTTCACCGTTTTCGCTCCAACAGACTCCGCTTTCGAATCATTTTCGAAAGACGGAGCACCGGTTTGGACCGAAGAAGATGGGCCCGAAGCTGCAAAAATGATTATTTCGAGGCACGTAATTCCATCCACTCTGTACACGGCTGGTATGAGGTACTATTTGCAAAAGGATACTCTTCGTCCTCAGTCGCCAGTTCATATTCACAAAAATGGCGGTGAGTAAAAGAATGATAGTAGAAGAGAGAATTAGAAAATTTAGAAATTCTTGTGGAATTAAAGTGTTGAATGGATAACGAAATTGAATTCTCGATTTCTCTGTATAGAATTTGCATACGTTCGTTGAATGTGATAATTTCCCGAGTTGAAATAATTCGACGAATTTTCTTCCTATAAAAATTATAGCACGCGAATCGTGAAAAATCAGCGCCCTAATAACCTATTTGCTCATTAAACAGTGACTCCCCCACCTCGTTAATTAAACATTCCCTTTCGCGCAGTACCGTAACTTTCGAGCTATAGAACGAGCGTAATTTCTTTTTATACATTCGGAGTTATGTTACCTATCTTGGTAAAAGAAGATAGTTCTTTTACTTTCGATGTTTCATTTCTTGTATGGATTTGTAATTGTCTCCGAACGAATGATTCGAAT